CCGCAGCATCCATCGGGACAAAATCAAAGCCCTTACAATCAACCTCAAAGACTTCAAAATCAGAAAACTCCAAGAAGCCATCAACATCAAAACCAGCATTCAACTGTAATCAAGGCTATTAATTACCTCCTGCGTACCATAAACTCATCAAAGACTCCAATCAGTCATAATCCCTTTGTCACTCACTCACCTGTTAAGATGATATCGCCCCTTTTGTGTACATCATAGGATGGGGGCACGGGTGGCGCAGTCGTCTAAGGCGCTGCGATTCGCTGTGCAGAGTTGCGTCCCTTGGGCACGCCAGTAACCTATCAACACTCTTTGATAAAAGTGGCAAAAATCCTCGGCAAGCCTCGAAATTTTTCCACTTTTATCAACTCGTGTTGATATATTTGATATCAAAAGACGCTCGGGTGAGATTCTCTATTTCCTATCTGAGGGTGAAACTATTTGCCAATGAATCATTGGTTTGAAAAAACAGATACTGCAAACTTTAAATTAAAACTACAAGCACCTGACATTTACAATAAACTTATTATTTCGAGAATATATAAAACGTGTTGCACAGATGGTTAGATTTGTGCCACATATATCTAGGTTATATGGAGGCAGCAGATGTGAACAAGACTGTATATAATTGATTGAATTCACTTCTGTTTAACTCTCTGATTCATCAGTCGTTGATCTCATTTCTGAAGCACACTCCAAGACCTTGTAAGTATTCACACTCTCGCTTTCCCTCGCTCTCTCTCTAAAATATTCTCACTCAATCAGTTCTCTTGGCAATGGCGGAACGTTCTCCCGTTAATTTTTCTTTTTGATAGAACAGTTTGACGAAACACTTATCGGGTTCGAACCGGAGAAGTCCGTGCCGAACATAGTTATTCACATCAAGACGAATGGGTATTTGTGATTTATTCAGTAAAATATGTTGTACATTTAAAGCACATGTGATTTGATAGCCTTTAGTTAAAAATAACCCTTTTCTTGACCATACTTTAAATACTCATAAATGTAACAGGTCCATCAACAATATTATTTGCAAAATGTGATAAATGTTACTTTTAAACAAAACAACTGTATCAGGCAAACGCTGCCGTTGATTGGAATTTTTGTTTCAGACAAAATACAGTTATTTTCTAGTTTTTAGTGCACTTTGCCTACGCTATGAAAAATGCACCCCTCACATTAATTGTGGACAAGTCCATTCTGCATGTTTTTATTACTTTACTCTCTGTTGAAAAAAAACTTGGAGTTGCTTTGAAATATGTTGTTGTTTAAATATTTCCTCTCAACACCCAATAGGTGAAATGGGAACTCTGTGCGTTTTCATAAGTTATTTATCCTTTGAAAAAAATAGTTGTGTTCATAGTCAAGCTATTGTTATCAAAAGCCCATGAGAGGCTAGTAAGCAAGCCAGTTACGGAAAAGATTGGACAAGAACAAGAGAATCTCCAAAATTAGTAGGAGATTAAAATACTTAGTAAGTGTTGTGTTTTGATAAGTTAAGAGTTTTGACAAAGAAATATGTGTGTTCATAGTCTAGACGGTTGGAGTCATTTGATGTTGATGGTTTCTTTAGGTTTTCTGATTTTGTAGTCTTTGGGGTTGGTGGTGAGGGCTTTTACTTCATCCCACTGGATGCTGTGGTTTGGGTTGTCATGGATATGGTCTGATAGAGCTGATTTGAAGTCATAATTGTCTTAACTACCCTTGTGTGTACATAACAGGCTTCTCCATTCCAGTATAACACCATCTGATATCTACTCTACTGTATAAACATTACCTCCTACCTGTATATATACTTGCCAATACTTGCTTGATAACGGTCCGTGTGCGAAATACGCTCCAGTCGGAAAGCGCACGTAAAATCTCCTAATATAAGTAAGTAATTGATAACGGTGTTAGAACCTACACTGAAACGTCGGTCTTAATTGTAAAACAGAAGTTGTTCATCCATAAATCATACCCTTACTTAATAAAGCACAGTTCTGCCCTGAATTATTAAAGTTAAAGTACGAGAACACTTTTTTAGTTACATTTTTAATGGGCTGACGTCGTGACGCTGTTCAAACTACCTCCCCAAACTGTCTGACATCAATTTACGTGATGTAATACCGAAAAGAATATTTCAAAACAACCAAAATTATATTCAATATTGGACATATATTTGTTCATTATTATGTTATTATTTCTCTTCATCTCGTCTCAGAATTACTCAATAAAAGATGCGAAGAAAGCTCTATTGATAGAATTATCAGAATAATCGTATAATGTTGAAACAACGGGGTACATGGCATGGTTTTTTTTTTATACGATTTACAATTCCTGGAGAAATAAAGTAAACAGGTTTTTTTATCCTGTGATCACAATATTGAAAAAAAGAATGAACCCGTTGATTATATAATGCAAAACGAGAGGAATAATTTGTAAATTGTTTGTGACTAACGAGCACCTGGCGAAGCGTAAGATATCACTGTCAATTCTTTCAGAAATGTGTGCATATATTTTAACGAAAAATATTATCCAATTTGTTAAAGAAATATATTCAGTTTTAGTTATAAAATAAAATGAAACGGCTATTCATGGACATTGGTTATATGAACTAATTATAATATTGACAATTACACATCCCAAGAAATACGTACATGCTGCAGTTACATTTACACATCATCTTGTAACACTTGTCCAAAGGATAGAAATATTGTATTCGACACTATAAACCTATCAATTCTTATGTAAACAATGTTCAAACAGGAGATTATCAAAGTTTCGTTCATACATATTGTGGCCTATATTTACGTATGGTATCATTTTGAACATTGACAAATATCCAAAGTGAAATTAATTGTGTAAAAATGTATAAAAGATATGCAAAATCTACATCACAACTGAAACTGTAAACAGCATGATACAATGATCGTGTGCACTCTCATTCAAGAACCTTCACCTCAAAGAAATAACCAAATATCTACAACAATGTTGACGTAAGACACCACTACCGGTGACCGACTTTTGCTTGGCCTGAAACGCCAGTGGATGATATCACGGAACAGGGAATTTCCCATCTTATTCAAAACTGTAAAGTTTATCTGTGTGGGTGATGTATTTTGAATTTTATTCGACTTCAAAGTGAGGGTTGTAAATGAGTGAGTGAGTTAAAATTTAACGTCGCATCGGCATTATTCCAGCCCTATAGCGACTTGTAAAGGAGGGACATATGTGTCCCTGTGGCATCTAGGGGGTTAAAGGAAAGCCAAATATCTATTGGACCGACACGGTTTGTTCAGTCTACAATTTTTTTTTGTTACTGGTAAAAATGAAAATACTTCAAACTTGAAACGTTATCAAAACAGTCGCCGAAACACTGCAAACATAAGATCGAAAATACATCAGCATAGAATAACAACAAAATTGTCTCTAGACTTTGCCCAAACGTTTATAAACATCCTGAATGACAGCAGTCTTTCTCCATTTACGGTTTCTCGACAACATATTTCGCAAGCTAGCCGCCTTTTGCAGGAAATCACTTGCTTAATTTTTGTTACTTAAGCTATTTAAAAAATATGGAAAATGGTTTATTATTATGTGACGCCCTTATCTACTGTCATCACTTATTATTTTGCTAATCAATACATCTGTGAAATTTACAACAGTTTTCACACAAAGTGTCACATCTGTTGAACGATCGGTAATTGAACGCGTAAGTAACACCTGTCAGGTTTTATAGATCACTCTGCAGTGATGTTTGATTGACTGAAAGTTGGAAGTATATTCGTTTACCAGTTGGAACGTTGCCAACCCCCTTCAATGTAACTTCACGTGTTAAACACTGAGGTTAAACTTTTGCATGATTAAATTGCTCAACAAATTCAGGTGTTGGTTCACATACTGCAAGACTTTATATACTGCAATGGTTGTTAATATATTCGTCCGCCTTAAATATTTAGAATAGGAACCGCGGCTATTGTATGGTTTTGAACGTGATCTGTATATGATACACATATGCCCAATTCGGCAGATTTTCAATTCATCATACTTTCGCAATTTTTATTCGATTGTTTGTTTGTCTTTTAACGCCGCACTCAGCAATAGTTCAGCTACACGACGGCGGTCTGTAAATAATCGAGTCTGAACCAGACAATCCAGTGACTGACTTCATGAGCATCGATCCACGCAACTGGGATACGAGCCACCCGATCCCGTTAGTCGCCTCTTATGACAAGCATAGTCGCCTATTACGGCAAGCATGGACTGCTGAAGATCTATTCTACTGTATCTCATTGAAAACCAATAATAATAATAATAATAATAATAATAATAATAATAATTAAATATTGCTGTACGAATCGAAAATAGATATACACTCATGCATTTATTCCCCAAATTAGTATTTCGCCTTTTAATTGGATGAAAACAGAATGGAAACACTAAACAAAATCGACATGCACTGGGCAAACGCGAACTTTTTCTTTTTTATTATCTTATGACATACACCAGGTTACAAATTACTGCCATACAAGACAACAAAGGATCGCATAACTATGAGTAATTCCAAATTTTGTTTGGGAACCTGATTTAGTACCCCCTGGTGTCTCAAATTATGCGCCAGGGCGTAAATATGATGTGCATCTTGTTAATCGTCGATACAAACATTTGGTACATGTGCGTAAATCAGTGACAATCATAACAATTGTGGTGATTTGTTATTGGTTTGTTGAAGTCGTTACTGACTAAAGAATGGTACCACTATCTGCTTTCAAAAAATATACTTACAGAGCTAGTGGTATCGGTCGTGCCACATTTCACAGATGAACGTATTCGCGAACTCCTGTAACGTCTTCGTATCTTGCAATGACCACCGTGGTTTAAAGTCACGCAATACTATGTTACTAAGTGACGTCATAAGTATTGTATGACGTCATAAGTATTGTATGACGTCATGCAGAGTATCACTTTGACGGGAATATTTCATTGAACTGGGGCTACTGCTAAAGAAACGTGACACTGTAGCTAGAGGTATGTCGTGTAGTGGTACTCTCAACTAGCTTTTGTTTTACCGAGGTGTATTTTTGTGGAGGTAGAAATACCAAAACACCAAAAGGCACCAGTTAAACAACAAACAAACAAACACCAGTTCAGCATCTGCTTAAGACATGTGCCGAGTTTCGTAATAGTTGAGTTGGGTTGAACACCGCTTTTAACAGTATTCCAGTATATCACGGCGTGTCAGCTTAATGTGGGAGCAAAGCCCGAAATGATGCGAGTCTCAGACGTTTACCACTTTGGTGAAACCCACGAGCACGTGACAGTTTCGTAATAAAGAATTAAACGGTTTCTAAGTTATGCTCTTATCCCTCCCACTTCGTGACAGGGGATAATAATTCCCCCCAAAATATTTAACAAGCTGTTAACTCCCACTGTGAACCTTTAAAGGCTGAGAATGGCTGAATGAGATAAAAAAGCAGAATGATTTATCTTGTTATGAATTAGAAAAGAAAATGGCAAATGAATACAATATCTTAAAGAAAATTACATTATTAATTAAAATTTAAATTGAAACGTTATAATTGTGCACCTCGGCATGCTTTTATCATATATACAGCGGAGCAAGCCGATTAAGCTCGGAATGTTTTACAGATCGCAGCGCCACCTGGCGTTCTTTATTGTCAACGTCCTTCAGCAGTTGAGTGTCCTTTCGTGCGCACTGATGTGCTTTTCTACACATTGTCCTTCCTTTTTATATGACGTCTTTTCGTTAACTTAGACTATTTTTGCGTAATTTTGACCTATATTTCAGCTTCGTATTTTTTAACCGGCGTCTGTTTGTTTTGTATTTTGACCTTTATTAGTAACATTTAACACTATCTTTGTAAAGTTTGACTATTATTGCGTATTTTTATCCTTTGTTCAAATTTGTATTTTTGACTGAATGGCTGCCAATAGTAATTCCGTATCGTGAATCTTAGGTGCTAGTTTTAGGTGCTTAGGATTAGTTTTATGACTGTATGGAACAATTGTTCATACCCCTCCCTAATAAATAAAAAGTCCCTAAATAATGTGAACATTTATAATTTTATCACCTTGCCCATTTCTTAGCTCCTTGTTCTCTAAAGTGTCGACACTAACGTACCGACAGCATCCACACTGATCTTGATTTCGCTCACAAATAGTTATGTACGACAACCTATTATAAGCATTTTATGGGCGTTTTAAACACTCTGCATGCCTTTTTCGTTACCATGTGTTAAAGTGGAGAGATGTACTCATGGCATTGTACTTTCGAGGATGGTCTCACCCATTTTCTTGAAAGGTAAATTACATTAAATGCTACATGGCTGATTTAATTCCTTGTGTCTATTTAGATGGATAGGGCAAGCAAAAAAGAAGAAGCTGAATAGCGTTCTCCAACACTCGTTGATATGTCGCCAAATGGGTACAATGTGAGGAGCCGATTTCTCGTGTCCCAAGTCGTGGTAATGCCGGGATATTGCTTGAAGCGGCGTAAATCCCAACTCAACCACTCACTCTTTGTGTCTACCTTGCATGTATCAACACAATCACTAACCTATGCTTGTCGAAAGACGGACTAAGTGGATCGGGTGGTCACGTTCGGTGATTTGGTTGATATCGTAACCCGCAGGCGTGGATCGATGCTCATGATGTCAATCACTGGATTGTCTGCGCAGGATTCGATTATTTCCAGGCCGCCGTCATACAGCTGGAATATTGCTGTGTTAAGCATAAAACAACGCAATCACATACACGGGCCCACTGGTCTTCCTATAGCTGGACAGAGCGTCGGGGTAGCCTATTGGTTAAAGCGTTCGCTCGTCACGCCGAAGCCCCGGGTTCCATTCCGTACAATATGAGAAGCCAACTTCTGGTGTGCCCCGCCGTGATAGTGCTGGAATATTGCTAAAGCGGCGAAAATTCTCACTCACTCACTCACTCACTCCGCTCGCTAGTCACGGTTTTTATAAGTCGGATAAACCTTTCCCAACCAAGGAGGCGTCCAAACTTCCCAGCAAGTACTTTGACATTCATTATACCTATCCTGACACGAAATATACGTCAAGTAATTACGACATAGTGTTTTGATACTTTTGAAGATTATCCAGAGAGTTCCCTGTTACTGTATTATTACATAAATATCACACGAGTTTCAGTGCAGTGTTTAAAACTATGACCCTGGTTTGTTTAAAGAAAAACACCGTGCAGCAATGTAATTTTTGTGTCGACCAATTTCTAGTGAGTGAGTGAGTTGGGTTGAACGCCGCTTTAACAGTATTCAAGTGACATCGCGGCGTGTCAGCTTAATGTGGGAGGAAAGCCCGAGGTGATGCAGGTCTCAGACGTTTACCACTTAGGTGAAACCCACGAGCACGGGTATGGTGCTGACAAACCTAGAATCAGGGGATTCGAACCAACAATCATAGGTTTCAGGCGTGCCCAAGGGACGCAACTCTGCACAGCGAATCGCGGCGCCTTAGACGACTGGTAGTTTATGTACACTGTCCAGTTACCTCTAAGGGGAACAACTCACTGGATACTTCCCTCTCAAAAATACCGTCTTCCAATTTACGTCGTCGTCAAGTTGCGAGCGCATGTTCGAATCTCCAGAATTGACGTCATGATAGAACAATGTTTTATCGTGAAATAAACCACGCTTCGATCTTCACTGTTCTTTGCGATTTATCGCGTAGCTTTCTTATATAATACATTTATAAAGTTGCTACACGAGACTTCATAATCATTATTCAACCATGCAGCGTATGTATTCTAATAACGCTAACGCTAAATGTTACCTTTAGGCGGTAACGAAAAACGAATTGGGCCTTAATTGTATATAACACATGCTCTTAAAGTGCAAACACTGCATCGCATCATGCTGGTGTTATTACGCATGATAGTTTAAATGCTAATCCATCACATCGGATTCAAGTTTGTTAAAAACGTACTTAACAGCCTTGGCGGGTCGCTTAGGTTGAAAGATCCCCGAACGGATATGTCCACTCCGACGTCCGCGCCTTGTCGCATCTCACCTTTTAAAGCTTAATGTGACTCAATGGAAGAAATTCCAGAACGTCAGTTCGCGCGTTAGTGTGCCCCGACACAACATCAAAGGACATGAGTCGTTGTCCAGCTGTGAAGACAGACGCTGGTGACGTAACAGGTGGTTTGAACACAAGTCGGTTGAACTATTTAGAATGGCGTCGTGGCAAGTGCATATCTGTCTTAGATTTGATACCCTCTGTGGATAGTTATATTAATTGAGGTCTGTTGTATATTTAGTACCGATAAGTTACTATCAGTGTACACTTGTTTTAACGTTTCAAATTATAGAAAGTTTCAGTTAATTATAATATTTTATAGTATCATCAAACTCTACAAGTGTCCTTGGTTTCATGAGTAAAACTCTTGGACCGACAAGTTAAGCATTTAGTAATACTGAGGTACAGTGTTCAAACACAGCCAGTTGCCTAAACTTTTGCACCTTATGTTATAAACCTGCACCCTGGCTTCTGATCACATGATCAGGAGCGCATGTCGTGAGTTGGACAGAAGGTCTCAATGTTTGAGACCGCCTCCGTGGTCTTGTGGTAGAGCGTCCGCCCGGAGAGCGGAAGGTCCAGGGTTCGATCCCGGGCCGCGTCATACAAAAAGACGTTAAAAGATTGTATTTGTTGTTACCCTGTCTGGCGCTCGGCATTAAGGGGCTAAAACAAGGACTGGTCGGCTCGGAGTCAGTATACTGTGTCTGAGTGGGGTATTCATGTTAAACTGCGGCATGGTATCTCAGTGAGCTAGCACTATAAATCGGCATCAGTCCGGACTAGTACAAGCAGCCACACACACACACACACACACATGCATGCACGTCGCTATATAAGTGCAATAATCTTGGACGCGACGTTAAACCCAATTTCACCTCACCTCACCTCACCTCAATGTTTGTTACAGGGTTCAAGGGTGGGTGTGGCAGAATACAGATGTGAGGTCTGTTTCCTTATCTCTGTAATGTATTGATGTACAATTGATCTAAAATAGAACACATTTGATTTAATAATTATTTTTTATGCAGTTTGGAAGTTGAATATTTGTAGACTTTGAACGATTCGGGTTTGTGGTGTACACATAGCAAGTGTTTTGTTTCTCTTTGTAGTTTGTCTGCACCTAATCATCATTATTCAACCATGCAACGTATGTATTCTAATAACGCTAACGCTGCAACGCTACAGAGTTACGAGGACATTTGTTTTTTTTGCAAACGAAAAACGGGAATAAAGTTTTGGTGAGAGCATCAGCATAATGTGTTTCTTGCCGCAACAGTCGGTGTTGCTAACTTGTGACTATTCGCCTGTTAGACGTGTCTCGCCTTATGTCTGCTGACTTAAGCCTGAATACTTTGGCTTGGGTTGCTGCTCAGGGTTAAAAAATCCTTAGGGGCACGGGTGGCCCAGTCATCTAAGACGCCGCGATTCGCTGTGCAGAGTTGCGTCCCTTGGGCACGCCAGAAACCTATGATTGTGGGTTCGAATCCCGGTTATGTTTCTAGGTTTGTCAGCGCCATACCCGTGCTCGTGGGTTTCACCTAAGTGGTAAGCGTCTGAGACCTGCATCACTTCGGGCTTTCCTCCCACATTAAGCTGACGCCCTGTGATATAACTGGAATACTGTGTAAAGCGGCGTTAAACCCAACTCACCCATTCACTAATAAATCCTTCAACTTCTGTTTATCTTTGTCAATGTGCCTTAATGCAATCTGTCTATATATGTTTTTCTCCTCGTCACGAGTGCGTACGCTATTAAACTTATTATTGACAATTACAAGTCGGTTCCTCTTTGGGTGAGGTGTTACTCTAGCGTTGGCGGTGTTATCGTCAGTTCAGCACCGTGCCTGTGGGTATCCATGTTAAGCTGCGTCATGGTATCTCAGTGGGCTAGCACTGTAAGATTTTTCGAGCACAGAATGCGCGCGCGCGTGTGTGTGTGTGTGTACAAGCACAGATATGAAA